CCAAAGAACATGAGTATGTTGCTTTGAATTTACTCAACTCAGTTATGTGGAACCAGGTAACATAACATGGTTAAGTAAATCCAACATTTCATTTTTAGAGTGCAACTGTACTGCCAAATCCTGGACATTTGTTGGCTCATCTAGTCTATAAAACATAAACGGAAATAACGTTTACTCATACAATGACTTTATAAGTTAAATTCACAAGTGTTTGGTTCTGAGTTGTTTTAAGGTGCATCTTGGAAAAGCCAAAACAAACAGGGAAGTGTGAAGATGCTGATCGGCCAAAGTGGTGTGTCCACTGTGTGTTTCCCACGAGACAGAGTGGACATCTTCTGAGGATGAGGATGTCAAGGTCCATAAGCTCTCTCCATATGTCCCCAACATCCTGTCTGTCATGATGGGCAGCTTCTCTTTTTATCCCTTTTTTTTTAAATCCACAACTGAATCTGTGTGTTCTGTCACTCATGGAAGCGAACCACTGTTTAATTAAAACAAAAACAATCCAAATGCATTCAATTCTTTTTATTTTCAAACACATTTAAATGTATTACATTTAAATAAATGAAAGCACCAAAAGGCAAAACAAAATGAGACCTTTTTGAAGGAAGGGAATTTGTAGTAAACAAGTATGTAATTTTCAAATCTTGTACTTCACTTTTCCAGTTTTGCTGATGACGCAGATGTGCTGAAAGCAGAAAAGATCAGGGGGAAAATTAGCAAATGAATGCAAAATTGATAGTTTTTTTTAACAGTTCTATAAATAGAAACATTTAATCTTTGCCCAAAGGGTGTTGTATATTGGACCCCATTTCAACAACAATGTGGCAAAACCTGGAATAATTTGAAAGCAGAAAACTTAATCTGTAAAGATACGAGCATTCATTAATCCAGCTGTAGGAGGCCTGAGGTTTCAACTCATTTTTCTTTTGTGGGATGAGAAGAGATAAGAGGCGAAGCTTGAACCCTGGCCGATAATGAGATTCAAAACCTCCACATTCCACGGACCAGCTAGTCCTTCAAGCTTTCACAATGAATCACCCCCRGATACCCCCCCTCCCCCCCATTTCAAAAAGGCATGACAGCCTCACTCCATCACACACACTGTACACGGCACTATGAGTACTGGGAGTGGTTAACACAAGTCAGAGGTGAAAATGAGGCCAAATGTCGGCGGATATTTAAAAAAAATGGCAACGTTCCCACAGGTTTGTGCCCATTTTAAATTGTACTAAAATACACTGGTAGGCGTGTGAGGAAAAACACAGAGAGGAGGAAGAGGATGGAAATTTTGAGGCAAAAAGGCTCAAGCCTTAATTAATTAATTAATTAATTAATTAATTTAAAATCAAAAAGGGCAATATTAATTTTGAATGTTAAAGTTTTTGACGGGGGGAAACTGTATGTGTGACTTAAAAAGAGGATGCCCCACCCAAAACTAAAGTTTTAATGCTCTTTGAGATCTGATTCGATTCAATTCGATTTGAACAGATCTTTGTAAAAAAAAAACAATTATAAAACAAACATTTGCTTTTCATCCTTTAGCACAGACTCGCACAAAAAGGCACAGAAAACGTCAGCTGCTTTTGCTTCCTGTTAAAGCTCCTCGGGCGAGCAGGTTACCTGTTGGGTGAGTTTAGGTTTCACAGAGGAGGAGAGCATCTCTTTGATTTACTGTGTTTACTCTGCCTCTTTCATCTCTTTCTCTAAAGCGCTTCAGAAAGGTCACGTGCCGTGCAGCAGTGACAGCAAACTCAGGACTCACATTCAGGTCACGGAAATATTCATTGTAGTCCAAGGCGTAGCCGACAACAAAGAGGTTGGGAATTTCAAATCCGACGTCTATCAAAGCAAACACAGATGTAGATGTAAGCGGTGTCGGGATCTGGGTGAAGTTCATCACACATGGATCTCAGGTAAACACTTTGTACTTTGCTCCAAAAAAGATAAACAAAATGTAAACTCAAATATCTCTAAAACATGTCAAAAGCTACGAACTAACATCTTAAAAAACTCAAGACATCAACATACACAAACGGGTTTACAAAATAAGGGCAATAGGGAAATAACAAATTTGTTCACTACAAGTGTGTACAAGAATGTTACAACTAATATAGCAAGTTAAAATGCACTCTTTAAGCCGGCGGTTCCCAAACTGGGGGGAGGGGGGGGGGCAGAGTCTAGAGCAGTGGTTCCCAAACTTTTTATCTTCTGACCCACAAAATATCCATGGCAAAAACTTGTGACCCCAAATATTACTGGTCTGAGTACACGGACTTTGTTAATAACCCTAAAAACACAGGCTTTTTGACAATCTAAACAGCTTGTACACAAATATAAATACTTATTTACACTTATTTTATGTTTTTGTAACAGTTATGGGGAAAATATTACATCAGCAATTATTTTATTACCCTTTAAACTGATTTCTGGAGATTATCCAAGGTGCTTCATGACTCATAATTGGGTCCCAAGCCCAACTTTGGGAACCAAAGTGCAGCTTTTGACCCACAAAATAACAGTAGCAGAGACCTGTGCCTCCAGATATTTTTGGATGATAAACATTTGTATCAGGTCAACCAAACATGGGCATAGTAACAATATTTTTATACTACATTTATCCATTTTAAATACACKAACCTCACTCCTTTGTAACAACTAAGGCAAAATGTCATTAATTCAGAAAATCTTTTCAGGACCCCACCTTGATGTTTCGGGACCCCAATTTGGGTCCCGACCCCAACTTTGGGAAACACTGGTCTAGAGCACAGACCGTGACCATGTCTGCTTAGAAGTTGTGAAAATATCAAATTATTGTTTGTATAAAAATCACCACAACAAATCCATTTCAATAATTAAAACTTTGTATAGCTGAGTTTTTCTTCTACCCCCTCTTTTTTTCCCCCAAATAAGTTTGTAAACATTCATTTTATCATTTTATTTTTTGAAAAAGAGAAAAAGGTTGAACGTGTCTTTGGAAGACAAGTAAAGAAGGATTGGGGGTGGGTCTTTGAGGAAAATAGGTTGGGAATCACTGCTTTTAAGCAATTTAAGTTGCAAAAACCCAAAATTCTATATAAAAAATGGCCTTAGGAAAAAAAAAGATTTTACGTTAAAAAAACTAACCCATTTAGCTCTGGATTTACTGAAAAACTGATTATATGTTAATCTAATGAGGTTAAAATCAGTGTTTTGCTATTTTTGTCAGGATCAATTTATGTATTTTCCTTTTTTTACTTGCACATGTCTATTTTTCATCTCCGTCTTAACTCAAAACGTTCAGACCATCAGAACATCCATAACATATTACATGTTTTAGAGTGCTGTCATTAACCCTGACTTCTCTTCCCTGTTGGAAACAGCAGATAGACTTTTCTAAGAAGAACGGTCAGCCTTATTCTGACTCCACACTGCCAGTAAGCAATTATTCATCTCATTTCAGCAAGATACCAAGATTCAAACTGGATTAATTTTCAGGTTGTAAAACATCTCTGTTGGTGAACAAATTCTTTCTAAGTACACTGTGATAAGGTCAATCAACATTCCAAGGAATGCAAAGATTAGTTAAACTAATTGATAAACATGCAATGCATGGTATGAGCATGATGAGTGACTGTAAAACAAGTAAATACTTACAGTCTGTTAAACTTTCAGCCGTATTAGAGACCCTCTTCACAAGCAAACTGAAACATATAAAATATGGTAAATACACACAAAATGTCAGGTAATACACTCTCTCAACTTGTAAAACTGAAAAGAAACATAAAAAACAGAGGCAGTTTTCACAGTCCTCATCAGAAATTCATGATCATGTGCTGTGATGTTTCTAAACTTTTTACAGCATCTCAGGGATCTCAGAGTGATAAAACTGGTGTGGCAAAAAGTGTGCTAAGTTCAGCAATATGATTGTGTTGGGCTAAAGAAAAGTAAGACCAGGAAAGGAATGCACAAGAGCTGAACAGGAGATCTACAGCATGCATACAACAGGACACTACAAAACGAAGTGGTGTAACATACAGGAATATCCAATTATTGAGCACAAGTACGCAACAATATACTTAAAAGAAAAAATCTATACAGTATGTTCTGATTATTGTCATAAGCTGCACTGGGCCATCATGCATCCAGTTAGGTTGTTTTTTGTTGTACAGTTATGCAAACTGTTCAGGGAATTTGTGAATATGCTGCACATTTTCTTCATAAAATAGTTGCTGTTTTCTCCTTTTTGAAATGCACAAAAAAATGCACAGACTATGAAATGAAGTCAAAGATGAAAATGCCAAGGTTATTTACAATTTTAACTTGTGAATTCCTTCTAAAAAACATATACATGAGTCTTCTGGTTCCTCTGTAATCAATCATTTATTTCCCACAATGACAGATCTCTTATTTCTTTGTTTTATGTTGTCTCTTTGTTGTTTGTACGAGTTTTATTATTCTTGTATACTCATTCACCAAAATCCTTTTAAAACAGAATAAAATGCATAGAAATAATAGGAGGGACCAAGACGACATCCTTGTGGAACCCCGGTAGTAATCACTATGGAACAACTTTACTGTCTGGATTTATCCTGGTACAAAACTGTACATACAGCTGCTAATGGAACTACACAGGTCAAGGTTAGTTTTTTTTGTTAATTACTAGAACAGATGGTGTGTTGAAAGCAGTATTGTCACCAAACATCATGACCTCATGTTTTTACCCTGTAGCTGCTTTAACACAGAACATCAGTAGATCAGTACGATCAATATGCAAACTATACAGGTTTAAAATCAGCTTTGTAGTCAGTTATAGGATAGATATTCTATCCATCTATTTTTTCTTTTAATTTTCTTTACCTTCTTTCTTTCAGGGTCACAGGGGTGTGTGAGGGACAGGGTACCCCCATCACAGGGCTACATAGAGACAAATAATCATCCACTCTCTCACTTCCACCTAGGGACAATTTAGAGTTACCACTGAGCCCAACAGTCATGTTTTTGGGTTGTGAGAGGAAACCCACACATCCACAGGACAGCTCAGACAACAACTGTGGCACCTGTGATCGAGCTTCATTGCTTTAATTGTAAACTCTGTTTTAGCCTCAATTTAAGAAAGTCTTCTACAACAAACAGCAGAAAAAAGCAACAATCACTGACAGCATCACAGCCAAAGTCTCTGCATTGCTGTCATGAATCCAGAAAGGAAGTAAACTTCCACAATGAGCCTTGTGTGCTGGGAGATGTTTATCTTGTCTCTGTGATCTTTGGGAGTGAATAGGAACATCCCACAGAAACAAGATAGCGACTGTGTACAACTGATTATCTTCTGCACTCAGTAGTTCACTCACGATGGGGAAACTCAAAAGCGTCTCACCCTGCAACCTTGACCATTTTGGGCTCAAAGGTTTCCACATGTTTCAGAAGGGCCTTCATGGTCTTTCCTGTGTCAACGATGGCCTGAGGGAAGGGAAGAGCAAAGGAAGCAGGAGCAACGAGGAGGGAGGAAACGAAGACATTTGAGAGCAGACTGATAAAAACACAGCATATATAAAGAAAGTTGGGTTTTTCTTTCCTTTACGTTTTCGATTACATGGAAACTTTTACACCCAAGCCTTCTGCATACGCATTGTTTCACATTTCACTTACATAAACAAGGCAAATTTCCAGTTTTTACAAGTATCAACAAAGGTTTTCTATTACATGACCTCAGAAGTGTACTTTTTACAAGGCTAAAGAAAAATGCAAGTGTAGGTTTAATTTTTAATTTGCATTTTGAGCATTTTAGGGCAAACAGAGTTACCCAAGGTGGCCGGAAATTAACACTTGGTCCGAGCCAAAAGCCAATGTCTGTCAATACTTATTGAAAGAATGCTATGTAGCAAAATAAACTTATAGAAATATGCTCCTAGAAATGTTTTTGTGCTGCATTGTTTTTGTGTTTTGACCCCTGAAGCCTTCACAACCAAAACACGTTTGCTTTTCAGTTAAAATGGCACTCACCTCAACAATGAGCACGCTCTTGGTTACATGTAAGAAAACAAAAAGACAAGAAGAAAATGAGCGAGGTCCCACTTTAGAATATTAGCACCATTTGAGGCAAAGTAAAAAATAGAGCATTGCATTTATTAGATACAATATCCATGGTAACAGCGTTGGCAGCATCCTCACACYGCCTTAATAAAAACACAGACAGTTCGTTCTCCTCTTCACACTAATGAACATCTGTTTGAGCAAAAGTCACCAGAGTGTTCAGCTGCTGCCCCCCCCCCCCCAACACCCCTCCCATGCTGTCGGGACTCAAATAAATTCCTTTGGCTGTGAGGACCTTTTGTGAGAGTGTCTATGGTTCAGGGAAAGTGATGGGAGAGAATGTGAGCACCACCTGAACACTGTTGCGTAACACCAGGAAACAATGAGCCGATTAGGACGAGCAAACAGACACAAAAACATACAGCCAGCCTGTTGTCCTGCCGGCTACAAACACACTGTCCTACCCGCTGGTCCACACGTGTGCACTGACATTTATTTTGAGCAAGAAAGAAATGGTTGTTTTTGATTTATCAGCTCTCACAAGCTGCTAGGTTACTTCTTGATTCTGTTGCGAATCTGCTGCCAAAGCGAAAGATTGCTGCAACAGAGCTGAGCCATGTGGGAACATATTGTTGAGGAATTCATTCACTTTGTCTTGGGTTCAGATAAGGATTTATAAGACACTGTTGTACTGTTTATTTGATCCATAACTGAGCTGAATTCAATTAAACCGAGCATCCATGGTGGCAAATTACACCCACTGAAAATAAACTATCTGATTGTTTTCAGCAGTTTTTGCTTATAGTGGAAATTAACCCGAAATGAAAATAAAAACACCATATTTGGAAAAGGCATTTGTTTTTGCTTTGGTTTGAGTCAAAGTAAGGATTTGGGACCTTTTCTCTAGGTTGTGCCATTAACAATTGAGTTGGACTGACTTAAACTGAAGATCTAACAACGCAAAAGTCATCTACTGTAATCAAATTCTATCATTTTTATTAGATTTTTCTCCTTTGAGCAATATGCCATTGTTTCTTTGTTAATGTTACTTTCTCTTACCACACCTGTCACCTGTTAATTTTCAGCACACACAGTTTCAGTCACTTTGAGATCAGTGTTATGACTCATTTAGTGAGTTTGCAGATGTTCAGAATATTTCCCAATTAAAAAAAAAAAAACTAACCAACTGGTCCAGTAAGTCAAAGTGACTGTGTAAAAAGAGTGGAGAACATGAAAGAGAAACTGCAGAGTGCTAATGAAGGTTTCCCTCCATTTCAGCTGACAGAAAAATGTATTCACTATTGTCAAAATGACAATGTCAGCTCTGTTTTTGTTTAGTTTTACACTTTTTGCACTCAGAAAATGCCTCTCAGCTAAAGTAGGTGCTGACAGCTCTGTTGGGAGAACTGGGCATGTTTGTGCTCACATTTAGCTGATAGCTGATGTAACATTTCTCAGGCAACAGTGTCGTGAGTGGCGTATGTGTGTTACCTCACGATGCCACAGTAACACTCAACAAATCTCTTCAGGACTGGAACCTAACTACAACTACCTTTTTTTTCCTTTTTTTTTTTTTTTTGGGGGGGGGGGGGGGGGGGGGGGGGGGGTGTTTGTGGTGTCTGATTCAGAGCCAGAAAGCACAGAATAAATCTGAACCTTCACACAGTTTAACAGCGCCCTCTTCAGGATGAGTTATTTCTGCTCAGAAACGTTTAAATTCCACACCTGAGAACAAAACATAAGGAATCCCACACCCACCTTTCCACGAAGAAAAGACAGATCACTGCTTCCAACGATGTGTAGGTCCTCCGTGGATTGGTCGTTCTGAGGAGGACAAAACAAGAAGACCACGTAAAGCTTTGAAGACGATATGAAATTTGGAATCGCTCAGCTGCAGATGCAAAAACAAAAACAGCACATTGATTCAAAATATCCAAAATAAATGTGTTTTTGTACGACGTCCTCGTGTATTTTATTTTTGACCATCTATTTAAATATTTTATAAATCTAAGGGCTGCCCAATGTACCAAAAATGTATCTTCATTGAAACATCAACACTGAAATAAAGAAATGAATGAAGATTTAATATGTCGAAAAGGGATTTATGGCCCTCCCTGTTAGGACATTAAAGGGGGTCATGAATCTTGCCTTTTCTCCAGTAAACCATAACAATGATGACATTAGATTTATAATAAGCAACAAAGTAAAAAAAACTTAATATGAAAAAAGTAATATGTTTTTTATTTTTAAAAAAATCTCTGGTCACAAAAATGCTCTAAATTTGGATAAACCAAACTGTAACATATTTTAACTAAGAAATCAGGGGAAAAAAAGAAGGAAAAGAAAATTATACTGTACATAGTGTCTTTTAATTTTTGTACGATGTTTTTATTTGAGCAAAAATAGTAAAAGTCTGACAGAAAGGTCAGGAGAAAGAATGTAAAAAACTGCGACCACAAGCGGAGAAACATAAATCAGGCAGTTTTAAAGGAGATCTTGTGCCAATACACCATATGACATAATGCAGGTGGTAAACTGCACAGTGACATCACTGTGGAATCCTCCTCCCCAGATATTTTACATTCCAGTTATTAGATCCTGTCATGAGCGGATTTTCTTGGCAGCACCAACTGCACTAATTAGGGGTCTCATTTTCATGCCTCAAGCTGATGTTGCTCCAGTTGTCCTGTGTGTTGAGTGTTCATTCCTCCTTGAAAAACAGCGACATCTGGTGGTCAAAGACGATCACAGAATCTGCATGTGGGGATGTGATTTTTCATGTTTTTGTTCATAAAGTAGTAAAACATCGGCAAACCGAYTGTACTTTAAAGAGGGGGTATTATGGAAAAATCAACTTTTTTAAATTTTATATCATGTTATAATGTCAGTCTATCACTAAAAACATGCTCAGAGTGTTGCTTTGACTCATTCATTCATGTTTGAGAAATCCTTGAATCTCCTTTGGGAGCCATGTGATGCTGCCCATACGCTGGCTGGTACAAAGCACCGCCTATTTATACAAAGCCCCACCCCCCACCCCGAAGCTTTGTTGTGAAGACCTGCTGAAGAGGGAGCGTTGGAAACGGTAGGAGGTTCTTAAAGAGAAAGAGGCCTGATTTAAGGTGTTCAGATACAAATAATATTGGATATATAGAGTGTATTAACCCCATCCCCCCCAAAACAGCAGTATAAACTCTAGAGTGCCCTAATATAGAACAAAAAAAAAAAAATAGAGAAAGCCCCTTTCGTGCACTTTACCTACCAGGTAGCTTTTCAAACGGATAAACTCCACCCTCGTCTCCAAGTACCGGTTGGAGCTGCGGCCCAGAGTCTTGATGAACTCCACCAGGTCTGAGCAGAACTTGTAACCCCCCTTCAGGACGCACAGCACCATCAACTTAGCATCCTCAATGTCGTCCATGATGTGGCTGGCGAGACGCTCCACCCTGCAGGACATGATCAGAACATTAAATCACACCGGAGGCCATGAAAAGGACGGTGTGCTTTGTACCTGTTCATGATGACCCCATGTGGGATATAAACGTTCTCGATGTCGTTGTGGTAGTGTTCAGGGTAGGTGAAGAGATCCAGACTATAGCCAGGCCAGCCATCTTTGATCTGGATTAAACACATTTGTTAGAAATGGAGGAAATGCAGACATTTGTTGATTTAGACTTTTTTCATGAGCTTGTGCTTGCCGGTTTAAACAAATAAAGTTGCAACATTTTTATGTATACAGCACCCACAACAATGAGCGATCTGTTTCCTTTTTTTTTTTTTTTTGCAGTCAGCAACTCCAGTGGAAAGACCTGTTCTTTTTTCATTCTTATCCTTATCTAGAAATTAAATGCAATTTTTTTTCAAAACCAGGACATAGGATTTTCTTTCTCTATTACTTAAAGACATGATTCATACTTTTTTGGTGCTTTATAGTTATTTTTTAAGGCCTGACTCTTTAGTCCTCAGCTTAAATAATTTTAAGCACAAACTACACAGAATACTTGTCCTTGAAAACAGGTAAAGAGCTGTTGATAACACCTCATTAAAGTGTCACAAAAATGTAGCTGTTTAAAAGAACAATATAAAAAAATATTGAGGCTGATTTGAAACTTCTGCACATTGTGTTCACCTACMACAATTCCTCTTTTCACTGCAGCATTCTCTGCTTTTTGAGGCGCTGCCATTGTAAAATCTGTCTCCTCCTGCWTCAAGGTTTTATCTTTAACGGAAAAAGACAAAAGTGTGTTAGTGTACCCCATGGAGAAAAGTTTAGAAAAACAAAACATGATGGAAATCTGCATTTGTTATAAACATTCAAAATCACATGACAATTTAGCAAAATTCTCACCTACCTTCTTGTCATGCAAACTAAAGAAGAGGGACGGTGGAGCAGAGGTCTTCAGAGAAGTTGTGGCCACATGGGATCATGCTCGAGTCATTTAGGTAAAAGGAAGTGTTGTTTTGGGTTTTGGTCTTGGGGACTTAAATGGATAATCAGCTTCATGTGATGCTACACACGGGCCATCATAAACCACTGCAGTGTGTGTGTGTGTGTGTGTGTCCTTGTTTTTCCTATATCGTGGGGCCCAGTTTTAAGGAAAACGCAGCCTCGTGGGGTCCGGGTGGTCCTTGGGTGCCCAAAGCCTGGGCCCCACAACTTCAGAGGCTGATTTTGGGTTGGGGGTTTGGGTTAAGGACCAAGGTGTGAATTGAGTTTAGGTTAGTTTTAGGGTCAGGAAGGTACCTGTGAGGTTAGCCTTAGGGTTTGTGGTCAGGGTTAGGATATAAAATTACCAAAAAATGAATGGAAGTCAATGGACGGGCCCCACAAGGATATAAAAACAAGTGTGTGTGTTTTGTTTGTGTGTGTGTGTGTGTGTGTGTGTGTGTGTGTGTGTGTGTGTGTGTGTGTGT